TAACAACATACTGTAAATATAAAATTTTATATTTACATTTTACTTTTTGAAAAATTATGAAATACCCAATTGTTTGCATATTTAGTTTCACATTAAGAAAGTTTTCTTGATTGGAAATATTAATCAAACTAAAATAGTAATAAAACTAAAATATGTAAGTTACATTATCTCAGCCACAGAGGAAGGCAAAGGCAAACTTCCTCTAAAAACCTGTGAGGGAGTTGCCTTAGAGACTGCCATTTCCAAGCAGACAGCTTCTCCATTGTTCCTTCAAGGCTATTTTCCCCATGTCCCTTTTTTATCCTGATGTTCCTGCCCAAACTGTGTAGTTCTGCTGCCACAAGGAACCAGCAGGATTCAAAGCAAAGGACCCTGAATAATGGCCACAATGAATACCAGGTGCTGTAGACTATATGTTCAAGGAAGGAATTGGCAAACCACCTCTATGCATTCCTTGCCTAAGAAAACCCTATGAATTCCATGGGGGTTTCTAAGAGGCAACTTCAAGACAACCTCATGGACACATACCATGCTGACTTCCTAAATGAGACATCTACCAAAGTCAATCTCGTTGAAAACAATCATCCTAAATATGTGCACAGCAAAAATCTGAGAAATGCACCAAAATACTCAGAAAACAGAAAATTTAAACTGAAAGGAGAAATTCTCAACATAACAAAGATTTTACTTAGTGCAATTTCATGGGTTACAGGTTAATCCAAACTCTTACAGGTTTAGTCTCTATAATATCAATCCTTTAGTTGAGTCATCTCATCTGAGCCAGTCACATGGAAGTAGTTCCCTTAAGAAACTGATATATTCTCAACAGCCTTCCAGATATTGTTGGGCTCCCAACATTCATCAGCATAGGACATGCTGGCTAGGACTCCTGGAAATGGCTGACCAACAAGAACTAGAGAGCTCCAGAAATGATAAGCTGTGAAACTTGTGATCAGAGATATCACTGGCATGTGTTTTAGGTTGACGCCCAAAAGATCAACATGTTCTTTTTAGCCAAGTCATTGTTTTCATTTCCAATCCTTGAAGGGCTGGAAAAACGGCTGCTCGGCTTTTCAGCCAAGAAGCCGTTAGAGCCACATCTCATACAAATCATTCCAGCAGAGCTCTTTCTCTTGTTCCTAGCACATCCTAGCACACTTTTGTGCTCTGCTGAAGCGACTATAATTTCCTTGAGCATACTTTGCTCTGTGAGGAAATGGAAATTACTTTGAAAATCTCACAGCACCGCACCCTTGAGGGTCAACCTGTAATGTTTTTAATGTGCATCAGATCATTTTCAGATCATTTCCTGAAGCCAAGGCTTTCTATCATTAGAAGCTGACCTATCAAAACAAAACACATCAGGGGCAAGGGAAGGAAAAAGATCTGAGGGCTCATGTGGTTTAGACAAAAAGGAGATCAGATGGAGCAGCAGGGCCCCAGGAATGGGAAGGGACAAATGATGGCAGAGGAAGGATGGTTTACATTAAAATGTGCAAAACATTTCTCTTTTTTAACACTGGGGAGTGGGGATTTGCTTGATACATGGATAAAGCACAGAATAAACTGTTCACAAAACAATATGAAAAGGGCTGTATACATTTCTAAGGAACATTCGTGAATTTACACCTTACTGCAACCACCACATTGATAGACAAGAAATGTATTTGAGCACCAAATACAAACAATTAGAAAAATTAAAGCTTTAAATTTCTTTTACACAGCTTCCTCAAGGACCTTCATGTTTTATAGCCATATGTCATATAGATAAAAATACCTCATTTAATTATGACTAAGTGCACTTCTTACACTACATTCAGCTAGTTCTAAATAGACTAACATTGAATCATGCTGAAAAGATGGGGCATGTTTCATCCATCTGGATTCATCCTAGCAAGCTTCTTATGAGATATAAGAAGATCATGAACCTGAAGCACACACATGAACTGGTTTTCCATATATGGTGACTAACTCAAGTTCCACTGGCCTCTTTGGAAAATTCTATTCTCAGAAGCACAGTCAGATTTTGTATAACCTTCTCAAGGCCAATGCATGAAGTGGAAACATAGATAAAATGCATTAACTGTGGATTAATCACAAGACTACCTTCTTAAGCACTCTATAGGTTTGAACTCATTTGGACAAAGGAAAAATTGCCCAGACTGCTTTCTAACCTTACTGTTCTGTGCCTTCAAATTTACTCCAACCTATGAAGACCCTACTATGGGGGTTTCTTAGATTTGTTCAGAGGAGGATCACTGCTGCCTTCCTCTTAGGTAAGAAAGTATGACTTCCCAAGGTCACTTAATCATTTCCCATGATTTAGAAGGGATTTGCACCCTTATCTTCCAAAATTCAACACTCAAACCACTGAACTATAGCGATGCTCCAAGACAAGGGTGCTCAAACTTTTTAAGCAGAGGGCTGGCTCACAGTTCCTCATACTATTGTGGGAGGGACAGGGGCTATAATTTGAAAAATACATGAAAAAATTCTTATTTGTAGTGCAAAAAACTATGAAAGAACAATACAATATTTACAATGAAGAACAGTTTTAATCAACATAAGCTTACCAATATTTCAATAGGCAATGTGAGTTAGCTTTTGACTGATGAGACAGTCAAGTTAATTAGGACTGTTGTTGTGTGCCTTCAAGTTGTTTCAGACTTAGGGCAACCCAAAGTCTAAAGTTTAGGGTGGGGGCAGGTAAATGACCTTGAAGTGCCACATCCAGACCATGGGCCTTAGTTTGGGGACCCCTGCTCTAAGAGAAATCTACTAATCATAATGCAAATCGTAACTCACTTCTCTGAACTGTCTCGTGGAATTCTCCAATGAAAAGAGTGCACACAAATGCATCTATTGGGGGAAATGATATGCAGGCAGTCCCCAAGTTACAAACATCCGACATACAAAAGACTCATAGTTGGGTCTGAGACAACAGAAAGTGAGAAAAATCTTCTCCTAAAAGGGGAAATTCACTCCTGGGAGAGATATAATGGAAAAAAGGTGTCTCAACTCAAGGTCTACCCCCAATCCTTGTTTCCACAACATGCCATTTTTTTTCAAAATCCAATTATTACAGGGACAGATATTGAGGTGAAATCTTCTGAACAGGGGCACTGACAGCAAAACAAACACCACAAAGGTTTTAACCCTTCCCTATGCGATCCAAAAGTTATATAAGTGTAATTCTAGCCATATATATGGCTGGAATTACACTTTAAAAATATGCCTGTTCTGAGTAACATACACATTCAACCTAAGAATAAACCAACAGAGCCTATCTCATTCATAACTTGGGGACTGCCTGTACAAAGATACATCACCATTATAGGAATAGGTAATGAGGACACAGGATAGGACCTTCACAATTGTGGCATTCAAGTTACAGAATTCCCTCCCATGGGAGGCTAAAGTGAGTCCCTTTCTGTTCTCTTTCCTCAAGTAAGCCTCTCTCGTTACCTAGGCTTTTGAATACTAACAGGCAATTGGCAGGAGGAAGCACTTTTGATTTGGGTGTGATATATTTTAACCATTATTTTTCTAGTACATATGAATCCAAGTGTCTTCTTTGAGAAATGCTTCTAGTCCATATTCATGAATTAACTTCACCTGCCTCATGTCAGCCTATTCACCACCACAGAAACAACATTAATAAAGTGGAGTGGAGAATGGGATGTGAAAAAAATGCTACATGACACAGCAGCAGCATTCTTCAGGAAGTAACTATCTCTTGCAAACAAGAAGAAAAAGAGAGAGACCAGGGGCCCTTCCACACCACCCTATAGCTCAGAATAACAAGGCAGAAAATCCTACATTATCTGAGTGTGGACTCACATAACGCAGTTCAAAGCAGATATTGTGGGACCCTCTCCCTAGTTTAACCAGCATGTTGACAATTTAGGGAGTTTAGACCAAAAAAGCCACTTTCCCATACTGTAACAAAGAAATAATTTGGGGAACACAAAGGAATCACTGAGCAGAGAAGCCTGCAATTGGGCTCTATTGCCTCAAACAGGAAAATAGAAGTCCCCTCAAAAGAAAGTTCCTTCCACCAAAACATTTTGTCTGCAGAGGAAACAGCATACCAAGGAAGAGATAGGACTCTAGCCTAACTTTCACCTAGACATAATGACATTTGGGGAAATAATCCTGTTAAAGAGCCAGTGTGCAATCTGCTACCAGATATTACCAGGAGAAGCATTTGATAAATTTGAGAAGCTTTTGATAAATTCAGGGATATGTTACCAAAAAACAGAGCTGAAGAGATGCAACAGATGTGTCTGATCTAGCAAAACTCTTCCTGTTTCTATATGCATTTTTGTACGCAGCTGCACTATTTATTTATTGGCTTAAAGAGGTTTCTTTCAGAAGAGTTTCATATGAAACCCCTAAACAAGGAATACATTCCTCTGACAGCAAAATCCTACCAAAATCATTTCAGTAGACATGCACAGTATGGCAATGTAAGAGGGATATGATGTTTGCTCTTTGACATAAGTTCTACAAGTAGACATGCAAAACATCACCACCTGGCAATTACAAGAGAACTGGGATCTTTGCTTTCTCCTAGATAACACTGCAGCTGCTAGCCTACCAGATGCTAAAACTAAGATACACTGCAAAATGCTTCATTTTCTGCTTGAAAGACAAGTCTAGGAGACAGCTAAAAATGATCTTGGAGAGCAGAACAGTTGCCTCATCAGCTTAATCAGCTCCCATTGACCTCAGCAAGGACAAATGTTTAAAACACAAAGAACTTCATAATGTATCCTACAGTTTGGCAGAGGACATATACATGAAACCAAAACAATATCCCTTGATCTTTTGAAGTTACAGCTGTGTTGCTTTCATATGACACCCCTCATTTCAATAGCCTTCATCATAAATTTTCTCCAGCATTTCTTCTATGCTCAAGTTAAAATCCAATTAAATTTGACGAAACGTAGAACAAAGAAACAAGCCGGTGGAAAGAAAGCAAATTAACATAAACTTACCATCTTTGATGACTATCTTGATGAGGCGGATCGAACCATTCCGAGCCTTGGCAAAAAAGTCCTTCAATTCCGTAGTGGCTAAAAGGATCAAAAACATGTTGATCAGGATCTGAATAGGCAACCCAAATGGTATTCCACTCTTCAACACAATGAGAAAAGGAAGTAAAAAGAAAAGAAACTGATAGTGGGAACAATAAAATCTTTTTCAAAACAGAAGAATTTGCTTCTCCTGATAGAGACTGTATGGTGAAGTATGGCCTCACACAGAAGTTTCAGAGTTAAATACCGGCTGGAAGCACATGTGATCCAGTGAACTTGATACTTGGCTTGGGTGAACATAATATCCCAAATTTAGAAGATACTTTGGCCTGCAAAGGCCGGGTGGGCTCAGGTGACAGGTTATTAAATATACAGCGTATCCTGAAGTATATACAAAGCAGGGGAATGGACAGCAGAAAAGGGTGGTAGTGATGATAAGCAGAAGCAACTCTGTTTTTGCTCAGGCCATGATGACTCTGTTTTGCTTCTCAATCCCGAAGCATGTGACCTCTCCCCAGAAGCCCGCTGAGCACCACCAAGCAAAGGAACAGACAGACATTTAGAGGAATCGGAACTAGAACTTCTCTGGCATTCGCCCTCTGCCTGTCCTACTTTGACCCTCCAAGGATAATCTGCTATGAACCTGAAAGAATGGCAACCATCTGAGACCTCAAAGAGGTGGGCAGATGCTGCCATGTGAAAACCTGCTGGTGCCATGTTAAAAACAAAAATAAAAGTTCCCTTGATGTACATCGGGAAGGATTTGAACAACTTAGGTCTGAAACAATGTAAATAACCAGCAAGTGGGAACTGCAGTTGCAAGACAGCATTCATTTCACTATGAGGACACTTGACAGCAATAGCTGAATGAGCAGGCAGGGGTTACCGGCATATAGGCACCATTCATTTCAATGCCTAAATAGAATAAATCTATGGTAAAAAAAATAATATATATTAATGCTTATTAAATATACACAAGATGCTTCTGAACAGCATCTGATTTCCAGTTCTGTGCAGTCTGGCTTCTGAATTAATGGTGATATTGACTGACCTAATGTCACTGTCATACCGGGCCCCACTGACATTGACTTAGAAATCAGAAAATCAATTCTGGCTGTTCTTGTTGCTTTCCCGAATTAATTTTACCTCCATTAGTTTCAGTTACAACTGTGCCACCCACTATTCATACAAGAGCTTGGAAAAGTTATTTTTTTGGAGTATGTTTCCCAGTGGCTATGCAATACTTGGGAGTTGTAATTCAAATAAGTTTGTATCTTAACCAGGATCTATATTGGGGTTGCAAATCCTAGTGAAGTGGAATATTGGTCAGCATGTGTTCTTGTGGCTGACTGATCATTTCCAAATCATGGTGTATTTCTGCATCACTTCCCTGTATTGTTTACCAGGCTTGTTGAGCCATGTTTCAAGATCAGTTGAGGGAATCGGATCCTGTTAACTCTGTCACAGCTGACAGAAAAGTGTAGCACCTGTCAGTTGCTTGTGGAGCTGTTTTCAAAAATTCAATTGTGGGATCATGGGATTATTGAAAATGTTTGCCCATATTTGATCACCCAGGTTCACAGCGTACTCAGCTTGAATACTTCCAACTATGGCAGCAGCCAAAACAGAAATATACAAACATATGCAGGTCTAATGCCCATTGCTTCCCAATATCACAGATCCAGAGCCAAGAAGCACTTCATATCAGGCTGATCTTAAAAACTTTATTTATTTATTTATTTCATGCATTTCTACCCCACCCTTCTCCCTCCGAAGGGGGACTCAGGGCGGCCTCACACAAGCACCGTACTATGCCTTCAACATGTAAAACAGTTAAACATACATTAAAAACATTAAAAATCATTAAAACACATTATACCATTCATTAAACAGTAAATTAAAAAGACGTTTAACATGGTTAACTTTTATATGTCTAGCAAAAAAGGCAGAAAAGAAATCCAAATACATCCTTTTGGCGGATGTAGATTTTTAAAATATCTGTATAGGTGTTTTTAAAGAAAACCCTGTATGGCCTTCCATTCAACTGTACATACTATATAAGCACACATTCTCCACTTACACAGTCCTTACACAGGCGTCACACATCTAGGATGGGCTTAAAAGGGGCCTGGATAAGATCCCAAAGGATGGGCTACTAGTTACTACTAGTCATGGTGGCTATATACTCCCATTTTATTGCCCTTGGATCTCTTGTTGGTAGATTTACCATCTGGCAAGTCATTGCGGGAATAAAAAAAACTGCACTAAATAGGTGTCTCCCTCCCAGAAGAAATGAGCTTGCCAATCTTGCACATAATAGTGAAGCACTAGCATAGAAACATAGAATCCACCAGTGCCTTGGAAACAGAGATTTGCTTCTGTGTAAACTGTTATGGATTACAATCAAATCTGTGCAAAATGGATGTCGTGATTCATTGAAATGTATTTTTATTATGCTTATTATGTTTTAATGTTTAACTTACGTTTTAAGTGATGTAGTATGTTTTAAGGCACCATGGAGGTGCGATTGTAAGCCGCCTTGAGTCCCTCCCCCAGGGTGCAGAAAGGCGGGATATAAGCAAGGTAAATAAATAAATAATACATGTTAAACTAAATCTAGTAGTCTGAAAGGAGTCTCGGGACTCTTTGATGTTATGTTGAAAATAACTAACTTGGCAATGCCTTTGAATTTAATGTATATGTATGTGTAACCTGAATGAATACTTCACTATATGCATGCTGTCCAATGGCCCTGGAACGTGTAGACCCCCAAAATAAATTTAAAAAATTCTATGAAGAAAGGGAATTTCACCTTTTGAGCCAAGCCTCATCCATCTCATGCCTCATGCATGCTCTGGGCGCTCACTCACACAGCTGCTTCTCTTACTGATTTTCCAAAGATTTGACTTCTGATAGGATCCTTCAGCAGTTTAACAATGTAGGACATTTTCTGTGCAGTAAAAGTGGCCCCTATTTCTCAACACCACTATAATCAGAAATGTAAAATGTTGGTCCTACACCCAAATGTTCAAATGAACATCTGCAGCTATATTTACAACAGTCAGGAAATTCATTTGTCCCTAGTATGCTTTGTGGCTGTGTGGACTCTGCAAGAAAGACAGTGTCCTCTCTGCAAAATACCAAGTGTGGGTTTAACAGGGATTAATTATTTGCCTCTTACAAGATCTGAGCTTCCCAATATTGTGCTGGCAGTGCTCATTACAAGCATCCTTTGTAATCTGGAGAGTTTAATCAGACTTAGTAACAGAGAACCTTTGAAGGAAAGGCTTAACACACAATGCCATCTGTAAAGGTGGAGAGTGAATGCTCCACCAATAGCCAATTTAGCTCATTTACAAAAGGAGACCACTGCAATTTCACTCATTAGCAAACAACAGCTTTGAAAGGTTCCCAGAGCAATCACTCAGCAGCGCTGGGGTTCATCAATTCCAGTCACCAGCAGAGGCCGTATCTGTTCCAATTTGGTCCCTGTTTATCTCAAAGGGCAAAACACGCACCTCAATTTGGGTACAAAGATGCCATCAAATAGAGAGAGAGATACCAAGGATTGTATCTGCTGTCCTTCTAACTAAACAGAAAAATTGAAACACTAAGGCCCAGATTTGTCTCTTATAATAAAATATACACTTGTCTCTGCATCTTAAACTACAGCCAAGTCCTTCATCTGCAAACAGTTTAAAACGTTGCTAGGAACTGGTTCAGAAGAGGATATGGGTGAGAGCAAAATGTCAAATGAGGAGCAAATGAACAAGGAACAGGAAATTTATAAGGAGGGACAGGAAGTTTTGCAAAACATCAAAAACCACAACTTACATAAAACCCTGCCCGTCCTCTAAGTATCAAGTATCTGAGCTTCTCTCTGGCTTTCTTCTGCAGCAGTTTTCCCCAATTTGATGCCTTTCAGATGGGCTTAACAGCAATATCCATGATCCCTAGCCAGCCCGGCCATGGGAGTTGCTGCCCAACATATCTGGAGGGCACTAGCTTGAAGAAGGTTGACCAACAAGTTTTAAATCATTACACTGCAATGACAAGAGTTACATTACGCCTCTTTATGCCTTTGCATCGTGAACTAAAACCACATTTACATTTGCAGATTACAGGTGAAACATGGGAGGTGAGAGTCCTACTGAAGTACAAGCATCCAGGGATCCATTCCTCATCTCTTTCAGGGGTGGCCTCCTCATTCTGGCAGCAGACTTGATGCTGGGCAGTACATGTCCCCTCCACTTGTTTGATGGTTTGGCAAAGTTAATAAATAGCAGAAAGCCTCCACTTTACTTTATCAAAACATTTGTACAAGAACCACTGCTTCTTTTCATACATCCTTTGCACTCGCACTGAGGTGTTGCTAAGAAAAGGGATGGCAAGAGTTCTTTCCCCACTTGTTCCTCGACAGAGAGAGATTCGCTATATCCCAAGCCATCTGTTCAAGGCAGAAGTTGTTGAAGAAGACAGGAAGTGGATTGCAAGCACAAATAGAGACTGTCTCTAGTAGGTTGAGCCAGAACCTGCAAAGCCCCCATCAAAGTATCAACTTTGCAAGTTGAGTCCATAGCCTTGCCTGACCAGTGTCTTGACCAAATCAGGACATAGCAGTGGTACCAATTTCCAGTTAGTAAGGGGGTCAAGCAAGGCTGCATTCTGTCACTCCATCTGTTTTAACATACAAGCTGAATATGTCATACATTAAGCAGGATTTGACTTGGAGGAAAACTCAGAGGAAGGAAGTGTGAAAACTGGACCATTTAAGACATGTAGATAACTCCATTCCATTAGCATAAAATAGCACAGACCTGGAGCAATTGCTGAAGAAAGTGCAAAAGCAGGAATACAGCTAAACATTAAGGAAACAAAATAATTTACATAACTTTGAAGCAGACAATGAAGACATTGAAATAGTTCAAGATTTTGACTCAGTCATTAATCAGAATGGAGGCTGCAATCAAGAAATCAGAAGATGACTAGGACTTGGAAGGGCACCTATGAAGATCTAGACAAAATCCTGAAGGGTAGAG